TTTTGTTTGAGATGAAACTTTCTCTTTCTGCAGGCAGATCTAGAGTTCCTGGGTTCAAATGGTCCTCTCCCTTCAGTCTTCCAAATGGTGGGACTGCAGGCATATGATACCATGCATCGCTCTCATGAATAATTTAAATTATAGCTGTATTTTAAAGGAATAAGAAAAAAAAATTGGTGCATGCTTAGTATAGATGAAATCACTGTGGGTCTAACTAAACAGAACCTAATCTGCTGTTGGCTAAAATGGCAAATGTGGAACTTGTGGCTATGGAGGACTGACTTCATCTGCCTCATTCCCGACTCTCAGTCACTACCTCTCTAGACCCTTCAAGGTCAGGCTCAAATCTCACATTAACAGTTCATGGGTCCATCAAGAGAACAATGGAGAAATCAACTGGCACATCTATTTAATGAAATATTCCTAGTAAAGTAAAATGAAAGGGGGGGGGCAGACATCTAAATTTCCTGAGCAAATAAAGTTAGTTAAGCCATGGTTGCACCTTTGATTTTGCTTGATTTGCAAGCATAATCCAAACTTAAGGTGCTCTATTCCTTACAACTATCCACATTAAAGAAAAAGGAAGTTGAGTTTCAAACAGTTGGAAGCCACTACCTCAGAAGGGATTTTCCAGTGGGATAGACCAGACAAGGCAGCTATAGCATGACAATCAAGCAGTTATTTTCTGTATTTTCTTTCTATTGGGAATAGTGCCAATTTTTTTTTTTTTTTTTTTTTGGTGGTGGTGGTGGGCTTAGTTTATTATTTAACACTAAGGGGGAACAAAAAAGAGGAGCAAATTATTGGTAAGAGCAACAACATAGGTGAAAAATAAATCCTTTTGAGTAAGATGAACTAGCCCCAATACATTCTATAAGATTCTATTCATATCATAAAAATCAGAACAGGAAGAAGTGAATCTATAATAAGAAAACAAAACAAACCTGAAATAGGGACTTTTTCTGACAGTTGAAGGTGGGAACTGACTGGAATGGAGGAGAGAATTTTCTGAGGTGATGGACAGAGGTTTGGGCTATGGCGATGTAGGCCTCTGTCAAAACTTGTGGAGGGCTACCCTTAAGACTTGTATTTTGTTAAGTGAATTTTACAAAACAAACAAAACAAAACAAAACCTGAACCACAGTTAATGATCTGCAAGAAGAATTGGGGCATGAAACATCTTAATATCTATAGCTTACTTTGAAATGCATCAAAAAAAAAATGGCTAGATGGATAGGTGCCAAGTATGTGATAACGCAGAGAGAGTAAGGAGCTAATGGCAGAATCAAGGTGGAGGGTAAACAGGCACTCACAGAAGTCTTTCAATTTTATGTGTGACTAGTTCATAATAAAACGCTAAAGAGAAAGTCTTCATTCATTTATCAAGAATTAAAGAGGGCTGGCAGGGAGCAGATGGGGGCCTTCTTTTTTTAGTTTGTAAACATTTGTTTTCCTGTTTATGAGTGTTATGCTTACATGTATGTAAGTGCACCCATGTTGTGTAGTGCCCACAGAAGCCAGAAGAGGGCATCAGATCCCCTTGAAATGGAGTTACAGAGTGTTGTTAGCTGCCATGTTGGTGCTGAAATTTGAACTCAGGTCCTCCACAAGAGCAGCCAGAGCTCTTAACCATTGAGTCATCTCTCTAGACTCAAATGGGAGTCTTTTAACTTTTTGTTGTCAAACTGAGGTTCTGGTTCCTTTGAAGAGGATTATGAGCAGGGACTGATGAAGGGATCATCTCATTCAGATTCCTTTCCTAAATGATTTTGGGTAGAGGTTGCTATAGAAAATTTCTTCTCTCTCCAGTTTTTCCTGAGGTCCAGCACCTGTTTCTCTTCCTTACAGACTGTTCCTTCAGGTTCAGATTATGTGTCCTATGGCTCATGGGCCAAAGAAGTAGAGAACATCTAAAAATTGGCCTCTGGTAATTTAGTTTCAGATTATTAACTACAAAGTTATTTGAAATATCACACACCAATCTGATTTGTCTCCATTTTTGTTCCAAGAAGAAAGTGGTTTAACAGAAATGTCAATGTATTGTCTGAGCCACACGTGAGGTCTCCAGGGGAACAGAAAGGGCAGGAGCAGATCATTAGCAGCAATCACTAATTCTGTGTCTCCTACCTCAGGAATAGCACAGCTTCATGTGCACCATAGGCCTCTTTCCTATTTGGCCAGAGACTCCATCTTCTTTGTAACAGTCTCTTTTCACTATAAAGCCTCTAATTTTGTTCCTGGTACTCATTTAATTATGTATTTGTTTCCCCCCCCCCCTATCTAGAATACCCTAATCACAAAGTTCAATTTTTCAAAGGTAATTATTCTTTTGAATCTTTTCAGTAGCTGTCCAGCCAACTTTTCCCTCACAGCCATGCTACTTAATTAGGTTGTGTGCACGGTAGTTTTTCTTTTAACTATTATTTTTCAATTTAATTGATGTGTGTTTCTGTGTGTATGCCTTGTGTATTGTGTGCCAAGGTCAGAAGAGGGCAACAGATAACTGTGGATCAGAAGTTACAGGTGGTTATGAGCTTCCCAATGTGAGTGCTGGGAGCTGCACTTGGGTTTTCTGGAAGAGCAGCATGTGCTCCTAACCACTGAGCCATCTCTCCAGGCCATCATGTATTAACTATTAAACTGCATTTTGTAAAGAGATGCTTATTGTTATTTATTATGTGTTATTAGTATGAAATACTTTCATATGCAATTTATTATATATTTAAGTGAAATGTCTTTTAAAAATCAATATGTAAATCTAATCCTTACAACTTTATCTTTTCCCACTATTACATGGTGACTTATATTTAGTATGTTTCTCTTTTTAAAAATGTTTTATATGTATGAGTGTATTGCCTGCATGTATGTATGTGCACCTGTGTTGTACAATGCCCACAGAGGTCAGAAGAGGGTGTTGGATCCTCTGGAACTGGAGTTATGGATGGTTGTTAGCCACCATATGGGTGCTGGGACTTGAACCTGCATCCTCTGCAAGAATAGTCTGTGCTCTTAATGGCTGAGCCATCTCTCTATTTTTATAAGTGTTCTGACTGCATGTATGTAAGTGTACCATGTGCATACAATGCCCATGGAGACTGTAAAAGGAACTGGAGTTACAGATGGTGGTTAGCTGCCATGTGGTTAATAGGAACCAAACCCAGGTCCTCTGTAAGAGCAGCCAGTGCTCTTATCTGCTGGGCCATCTTGCCATTGCCAGTATGTTTCTCTATATTGCTTCATTTGAAATCCCTGGTAATGGGAAAAGATGAGTTTGCCCAATACAGGGTGCAAAAACATTCTAAATCAGTAGGAAGAAATCAGTCTTCCAGATGGCTGGCATCACCCAGGCATGCTTCTGTCAGTCCTAGGTACTCCAGCTCCAGAATCCTTGTGGTGTCTGTTTATAAGGCAGATCTGGGACCCACTCCTGAAACAGGTGTAGTGGGGACATTTTGAGGAACATGGCTTGTACGGAAGCATGTTACATAACTTCAATCATACCGAAGCATAAAATGTGCTAACCTGTATATTTTAATATATGCAGCTAATTATTGACATCTTTGCTTCAAATAATCAGCCTATAGTCTTAAACAGAAGTCACGCTGGAAAAAGCGAGGCTCGATTCCCTATGGAAGAGGAAGGCAGGTGCCTTGGGAGAAAGCCTGGTTTCCTGACAACTGGTCTGTGGGCTTTTGCATGAGCATGGCTAACTACCTTTTTCATGTTTTAAAGCTATGAAAATGTAGTGCCATTAACATTTCCCAGAACTTTTATGTTGAGTGTACAGAGTAAGAGGAGACTAGCGCTTGTGAAGAAGTGCAACTTTTTATTACGATTAAAGAAAACTGCTCTGAGGCCGGGAAGATGATTCAGAAAGTAAAACACTTGCCATATAAGCATGGGGACCCGAGTTCAGATCTCCAGTACGCACTTAAAAAGCCAGACACAGCAACATGTCTGTAATCCTAACACTGGGGAGGCAGAGACAGGAGGATCCCTGGGACTTATGGCAGCCAGCCTAGCCTTATTAGGGAGTCCCTGGTCTAGTAGTCCCAGTTCTACCCTTCCCCTTCTCCAGAACGGCAATGCTTAACTTTTAGGAGCTTTCCTTTTTTTTCTACCCTCAAATAGTTCACTTTTTAAATAAAATATTTTTATTTCATGTGTACTGCCTGTGTGTATGTAAGTGCATGGAGGCCAGAAGAGGATGCTGGATTCCCTGGAACTGGAGTTACAGCTAGTTATTGGCTGCCATGTGGGTGCTGGGAGCTGAACCCAGGTCCTCTACAAGTGAGCACACCAAGTGCTCTTAAGTACACAGCCATCTCTCTAGCCTCTTCTTGATTTAAAAAAATTTTTTTTATCTAGTAGTGACTTTCTAATGTGATAAGGTTTTAGCTCTTATACCACATCTAGTCTCTTTTCCTCATTGTCCCAAAGTAGTGATCAGATTTGGGTCAGGCAGCCAATCACACCATTATAATTATGGTCACTGTTAAGAAAAACGGCACTTTTTCTTTTTTGTATTCTCTCCCTAAATTGTTTGCCTAATCATCTCACTGCTCTCAACTTAGTTTATATATGCTTTATTTTAAAAGAGCTTCTTTGCAAAAGCTCCAGATTTGTCATCCACCCATTAATGCTTCTACTGCTTTGTTTGCTAAGCCAGCTACACAGCTGGAATACTGAAGGGAATCAAGGCCTGTTTATGTTTAGACAACATGGTGCTGACAGGGATTTCTAGCTTAAGTCAAAATGGCTAATGATAGACACCGTGAAGGCTGTGAGTCAGCACAAAATAAATGATGTCCAGGGACCCCAAAAGTAAACAGTGATGTAATCTGTTATATAATCAGTTTTGGCAAGAAGCTACCTTTATGTCATTTCCTATAAAAAGTCTTTGGTACCCAGGGCATAGGTGCTTTTGTCCAGTGTCCACCTGCCCAGCAGCCTGTGTGCCCTCACCTGGAGAAAATAAGCACGTCTCATTTACCAATGGCTCCATGAATGGCCTTTAATCTCCCACCTCCCCTTGACCTTCCACTCCATTCCTGGCCCCCCAAATACTACCTGTTTTGAGTCATATTTCCTAGATCTTAGCATTTCCCTTTGGTCTGCATAATTCTTTGTTTTGCTGGAGCATCTCCTTTAGCAGCTTTCCAAGAAAAGACAGGAGGGGACCCAGGCGCCTTGGTCTTCGTTTGACCAGCTGTAGATTTAACTTGTTGAAAACACCTTTCTTCTTAGAATTTTGAGGGCACATCTCCATTATTTTCAGTTTTTCTTTTCTTCCTTCCTTTCTTAGTCATCTCAAATTCATTGGGTCAAAAATAAAATTCCAAGTCCACGAGAAACCTCGGCTGCTTCCAACTTTCACCTGAATCTGCTTTTCACTGTGCACGGTGCTCTGGTGGAAGCTACTGTCATCATTCCCTCCCGAGCTTCCTTCCTGAGGAGGCTAACCTTTGTGAAGTGCATCACTTTATAAGGCAGAAAATACCATTTCTTTTGCCTAAATCTAAATCTTTACTGACATGTAGGGAAGAAATTTTAATTCTTTTTCACTTTCACAAAGTTTAGTTCCTAACTTACTAATTTTCATTTCAAGCAATACCCACTCTCAAGCCATTATCTCTGAATTCTTAACTGTAGCTATTATGCTTGCTAGTACCTTTTTTTTTTGGTAGAAAGCAGCCTATTCTTCCTCTGTCACTATAATATTCCTTAGAATTTCACTGAAGATGAGCAACAGAAAATTTAAATGTTTCAGACCTTAGGTAAGCTCCCACCTGCTTCTTCACTATCTCCATGGAACAGAATGGAGTTCTCAATTTACTGATTCTGAGTGAACAGAACTTTGTTGAGAGGTGTGATGTGCATAGAATAATTCATGATTCCTACTTTGATCTAATTTTCTAAGTCTGAGTTCTAGCCCTTCTGTTTAAAACTCATTTTGGCCCTTTGGACTCATCTGTCTAGCTCCTATCTCCTTGAACCCCTGTATCAACTCATACTTTCCAGGGGGACCTCCCATGTTCCACTCTTGTACACATGCTACCAAAAGCAGCTGCTGGAGTTCACTTGAGGCCTCGAAGGAGGGGTACTGAGACCATTACTGCAAGCAACATTTCTTATAGTATGTGTAATATAACCTAGTCAGATTAACAGGAAATGAGAACAGACTGCTTAGAAAGAATTATTCAGTAGCAAGGGATGTGGCTCAGTAGTATGGCAGTTGCCTGGCACGCCCAAGATTCTGAATTCCACCCCTAGCACCACAAAGCAATCACTCCCAACAATCCCCTACCCTAAAGAAATAATTACTCATAGATCTAAAGTCAACAGAAGTCCCATTTTCACGGAAAAATGCATTAATTTTTTAAGCGGGAAGCAGAACTTGAAATAAATCAGAAGACATCTTTATGCTAATCTTTCTTTTCATATACTTCAAATTTATACTTGATGCCTTTTTCCTCTTGGACCTCAGAAAGAACACCTGGGTATCTGGAAAAAACAAAGACACATGGTTAAATTTTACACCCACTGCAAGCAGTTTCCCTGACTGCCCATGCTAGGGGCATCAACAGGGCGTGAAGTGAGAAAGGATTTCCTTCCTCTTTCTGCAAGTCGATAAGCCACCACTACAGTGCTAACTATGAACAAATGCATAACACAGGCAAATCAGAAGAAAAAATATCAGCTATATAAAGCCAGAAAACAGAAAGTAATGTATCTTCTCTTCTGGTACTTATTTTTTTTTCTTCAAACACTAACCCCAGCTGGGAATGGTGGATCTCTGTGAGTTCTAGGTCAGTCAGGGTTATATAGTGAGACTTTGTCTCCAACCACCCTCAACCAAACCAACAACAAAAACCAAACCAAAGAGCAACAGCAACAAAATCGCCCAATCTTCCCCAAACAAAACTAACCCCAGTTCTAATTCCCCTAGAATCTTTTCACTCTATCAGTGAGATAATGTGAAATTTCCCAAGAACCTTTTTGTAGTTCTTAACAGTTGAAATCACATTTCTGTGTAAGCAGAAGAAAAATAGGTTAGCTGTGGCTGTTTGGAACCAAGGTTATGTACCCAGCAAGTGGCAGATTCTTGGTTTATGTTTACTCATGGGCACTACCTGGCTCTACTTACCCTGTGATGTGTGGCATGCTGTAAGTGCTCAGCTAGCATCACAATATTCCTGATCTTTCCCATGCACTAACTTTTCTTAGGTCTCTGTTCAGGACTCTCTGGCTACTCAGTCTCCACTATAGCACCCCAGTCTATAATAAAGGGGGCCAGTTTCTACTACTTCAGTTATGCTGTGCCTGTCTCTGGTTCTACTGCGTATACCTCTCTGCTGGTTACCAATCAAGTATTCTTCATGGTAAAGAATTTAGCATTTCATCTGACACAGTAAGTGCCCAACAAATGCCCCCCCCCCTTTTTGTCTTTCTGAGACACTGTCTCTTTGTAGCCCCAGGTGTCCTGGAACTCACTATGTAGACCAGGCTGGCCTCGAACTCACAAAGATCCGCCTGCCTCTGCCTCCTAAGTGCTGGGCTTAAAGGTGTGCGCCACCATGCTTGGCCAAATGTTCCCTTTTAACATTGGGTATTACTGTAAATGCACTGTTGGCAAGGACACTTACACTTTACGCTTATTTAAAATGTTTAAATTTCTTATTTAAAGAAATTGACACACTGCTAAATAAGAGACATGAACTTTTTATTGACTGATTATGGAAAATGTGATAAAAACAGAGATAGTAACACCAACACAGCAATGTTGGAGAATAATTTGTATTTCAGAATAGGAAGCTCTGCATCTATCTGCCAACCATTTTCTAGCCTATTGTTTTAGTAGTAATGTAGCTTTAAAAAAAAATTTAAGTGATGATTTTACTAGGCCAATTTTAAACTGTAATTTTAGTTTCTTTGTAAAATTTACAACAATTTTTTTGTGTGTAAAATTCACCAGTATCAAGACTGTCAGTCACTAAGACAAAAGCAGAGTGCTAAGAAGGCCTAAGGCTGAGAATAATGCCTTGCAAGTGACTGCTCTACTCGTGGAGTATATTAGTAGCCACGGTATTGATGCTAATTTTCACTGCAAAACTAAATTGAATTCTTAAATCTAGTTTTTCTTTCTCTAATATCTTTTGGTCTTTTTGTAGTGGCTCTGATCTCAGCAGACTGCCAGAGTTCTGGCCTCCCTCTGGCAGAGGGCCTGAGAATGCAGGGGACTGCCTGAGAGGCACCCCCCTCCCCCAATCCTACCTCCACGTGGTGGTAAGCTTCCCTTGATTGCACCATACCCATCCCCCTACCTGGGATTTCGTGAGGTCCCTCCCAAAGCCCCAGGGCAGATCTGGCTTTGGTGGGCTAAGGCTGAGATCCTAGCAGACAGCCTGAGAGGTTGGGTTCGGTTTGGTCTTTTTAATAATGGTTATAATCACCTGATAACCATAATTCCAACTTGACTTTGCATCCCAGGCTAGCTTTGAACTTGCAGGGTCTGAAGTACTGCTATAGTTGTGCATCACCACCCCAGCTTAGTTCCAAACTCTTCCTGTGAGCTACACTTGAACATTTTTGTTTTAGGTATATGTACATGTTCATGTGTGTGTATGCATGCTTGCGGGGCCAGAGGTTGATGCATATTTACTTTAAAAATAGTCTTTTATTTTTGTTTTATGCAAATGAATGTTTTGCCTGAATGTATATAAGTGCACTGTTTTATGCAGGTGCCTGTGGAGGTCAGAAGAGGGTGTTGAAACCCCTGGAACTGGAATTACAGGTAGTTGTAAGCTGCCTTGTGGGTGCTGGGAACTGAACTGAGGTCCTCTGCATGAGCAGCTAGTGCTCTTAACCACTGAGCCATCTCTCAGTTTTTGAGATAGTCTGCTACCGAACCTGGAGCTCATAGGTTGGCTAGGCTGGATGGCTGGCTCTGTGGCCCTACACTGTAGCCATGGGCATGCACTGCTGCTCCTGGCTTTCACGGAGTTGCTGGAGATCTGTACTCAGGTCCCCGTGCTTGTGCTGCAGGCACTTTACCCACTGAGCCACTTCCATAGGCTCAGCACTTGGACAGGATTTGGAAGCCACTATTTGTTAAGCTCCACCTACATACATCCTCCTATTTAGAATCTTTAAGCATTAATGTCAGAATAAACCCCAACTCTAACTGATAAAGGACCACAACAATCCAGAGATGGTTTGGTAGAAGGCTTAAGAGGTAAAGAGAGTTCTTGAAACAGTCATCCATAAAAAAAAATTAAGACTTCACTGGAAGCACAAGGAAGCACAATTTCTAGGGGAAATTTTGGAAAAAATATGCCAGCTTCCCAGAAAGTCAGAAAGTAGTGGATCAGAAGAGGAAACACGGGGCTGGAGAGCTGGCACAGCTGTTAAAGGCTCAGGTTCACAACCAAAAAGACAGAAGAAGAAACACCTGTGCATCCAAAATCCCCATCAGTGTCCACCTGGGGCATGAGTCCCAGCTCTGGAGCCAATTACCACCTCTGCTTCGGTTTGGATGGGGTTTGTCTTGCAAAGCATCAAGTATGAGAAGCCAAGTCCTCTCTGTGTGGTGACGCTGGGAGGTGGTTGTAGCCCTTTAAGTGGGGCCTAGTGGGAAGGACTTAGGTTAATGGGCAGCATAGCCCTAGAAGGGACTGTGAGACTCCAGTCTCTCTCTGGCTTCTTAGTTACAAGTGTGATCTTTTCTTACTATGTGTGTTCCTGCCACTGTGATGCCATCTGCTATGGGAACCTCAACAGGGGATGCCAAGGCTGGTAACATGCCCTTGGGCATCCAGAACTGTAAGCTAAATATATCTCTTCTAAAGTTAGCCTGCCTGAGGCATTTTATTACAGTAATGAAAATACAGCCTAATGTAGCTCCTAAACGCCCCTTTCTGTCCTCATGAAAAAGAAAACTGATGTGAAACATTTGGGCCTGCTAGTTTGGTTGGGGCCTCATAGAGTTTGAGGCAGAAAAATTTCTCCCAAGCAAGATCAATGAGAACAGAGCAGTGTAGGTTGGCTGGCATGGTGTGTTACATAGATGTACAGGCAAAGATGGCAAAGACATATAGGAAAAAAGGCAGACACATGGTAAAACTATCTTATGTGGTTAACAGGAACTTTGGCTCTTAGGCTTCTGACATCTGAAGCATCACCTGCTTTCTAATTTCATTTTTTCTTCACTCAC